TTGTTTCTGTACCAAAACCTTTCCTGAAGGCAGATTCAGAGCATGTCCCATTCACAAACAGGGAGCTGTTTTCGACATCCTGATTGTTGCCCCATTCATGGCTCTTTGGCAGGTTGCTTCAACCATGCCTTCCTGGCAGTACAGCAGAGCACAAACTGGCTTTTTGGGCCTGCACATTCACACAGCCCAGTGCAGTTCTGATTCGCCCTTTCTTTGCTGTGCCACTCCTCCTCTTGGCGGGCAGGTGTTTAAATAGACAGCTAAACCAGTCACAAACAACATTTAAAAATGTGTTTTTAGGAAAATAAGATCCTACTGTTTGATGTTCATCTAAGTCGTCCCTTGTGTATTGTTAATGGCTGCTGATCTGTTTGGATCTGCATTATTTTAATTTGTGCACCGCTTGGAGAAAAAAACAAAGATGCAAAACTGTTCAGGGGGTATTTGAGCCGCTTGGTGCTGATCTGAAGAGACCTGGGGATCAGCTCAGGTCTGATCGCCACAGTCGAGCATGTTCACCGCAAAATTTGAAGCACCCCAATTTATTTATTTAGAACACATTTATGCTGCCTCTCCAGAGTTCTGCTCAAGGTGGCGTACGCCTGAGGTCATACTTCTGACACCTGTGTCACCGGACCTACTTTTAATCTAGATTTCAGATCGGGTCAGGCGAATGACACTTTTAGCGGCAAAGCATCTCGAGGAAGAACTGTCACAACCAGTAATCAAATTCAGATGGTTCGACCCTAGCAGCTCATAAATTGAGGGACACTTTGAATAGTCTGGCTGGGCAAGATTTGGTTAATGTAATAGTGGCAGAGAACAATGCTTTCTTTGATACCACCTCATAGGCCTTTATGGTGTGCTCTGTCCAATCCACCATGTTTTAGCCATCTTTTCTTATCTATTGATTCTCCAGTAAACCAGATCACAACATCTTCCCAAAAGGGAGAAGAGGGCATCAGAGAGGAACTCTGTCCATTGACTACTGAAGAGAGTCTTTCCAAATCACTGCTAGAGTCCAAGCAGAGTTGCTTTTTAAGGCATACTCAGCCTACGCTCTCTACATTAAGCAATTTCAGATCTCCATTCCATTCATCTTCAGTCAAGTTTCTTTGAGGCATGTCAAATGAGGAGTCGAACGTGGTCCCACTGCATAGTTTTGGGACAGTACTCCCAAGTCCCAACCGCATCTAATAGACCCCCAGCAGGTAGCTTTTGGGAAACCACCTTCCTCTGTGGCCATGATAATGTACTGGCCACCCTCCCTTCTTAAAGAACTGTCAGATGTGTGCTCCAATGAAGGAGGGAATAGAACGGAGAGAGGGATTTCAAATCATTTTGTATGTATTAAAGCCAAAGATAAACACTCGCCTCTTAGAATGCTTATAAAACGTGATATTGACCACAAGTGTAACCTTAGGGGAAAACGAAAGAACCGTGTCTAACAAATGAGAACCAAATGTGCATGTTTTGTGTACTCTGTAAGAAAAACCTTTAGAAAACCACATCCCGAACATAGTTTGCAGAGCAGCGGCTTTGTACACTTACAGGGTGGTTTTAAGGTTATTATTTTAAAACAGGTCATCTTTGATGAGATTTATGGGCGCACCGAAGAATGCACTGTTGACTCTGCTGCAGCCTTTCACAACCAGCTAGGAAATTTTTTTGGGAGGGGGCCTTGGGGGGGGGCTGCAGCTAATTAAATCGAAATTAATTACATTAATTCAATCTGGGACCAGCCCAGGAGGGAGGGGGCCCAGAAGAAACACCAGGGGGCCGGACAGATTAGGAAAACAAGAGGAAAGATGGTTAGATTTCTCATAAGTTGCACTGTTGCTAGGATGCGTTGGCAAGAGGCTGCTGTGAAGCTCGGAGTTTGATGGCAAAAGGGTCTGGGTAAAAGTCGGATCTGAATGGATCCTCATGAATTCATATGATTTTTAAATTGAAACAAAATAAAACCACCATCATATTGTAGGTCATGTGTTAGTCTACAAGGGGCATCATAAAAATTACGCATCCACAGATTCATGGCACCACAACCACTCAAAACCATGATTCCAAAGCAAGGATCCTTGTGAATTCATATGATTTTTACGCTGAAATGAAATAAAACCAACATCATATTGTAGACCATGTCTTAGACTATAGGCAGCACTCCAAAAATCATGCCCCCATGAATTCGTGGCACAACAAATCTGCAAAAACATGGTTCCAAAGCACGGATCCTCGTGGATCCTCAGGGTTTTTCAATTGAATCACCTGAAACACACCATCAAATCACATAACATGTCCACGGCCACAGCTTGCACCACAAAAATCATGGATCCACAGCTTCGTGGTGAATCCATTCTGCAAAAATATGATTCTGAAGCACAGATCCTTATAGATCCTTGGGGTTTTCATGTTGGGACATCCCAAACATACCATTAAATCCCATATCACGTCCATGGCGACAGCCTGCACCACAGAAATCACGGTGCCACTGCTTTGTGGCAACACCATGCTGCAAAAACATGGTTCTGAAGCATGGATCCTCGTGGATCCTTATGATTTTTGCATTGTGTCACCCCATCGTCACCATCAAATAATATGCCTTGTCTATGGCCACAGAATGCACCACCGAAATCACATGTCCACAGCTTCGTGGCGACACCATTCTAATGGTTTCAAAGCACGGATCCTTATGGATCCTCAGGGTTTTTCAATTTGGTCACCCCAAACACACCATCAAATCACATAGCACATCCACAGCCACAACTTCCACCACAAAAATCACAGATCCACAGCTTCGAGGTGAATCAATTTTGCAAAAACATGATTCTGGAGCACGGATCCTTACGGATCCTTGGGGTTTTCATGTTGGGACATCCCAAACATACCATTAAATCCCATATCATGTCCATGGCCACAGCCTGCACCACAGAAATCATGGTGCCATGGCTCTGTGGCAACACCATGCTGCAAATACATGGTTCTGAAGCACGGATCCTCATGGATCCTTATGATTTTTGCATTGTATTACCCCATCATCACCATCAAATAATATGCCTTGTCCATGGCCACAGAAAGCACCACAGAAATCATATGTCCATAGCTCCGTGGCAACACCATTCTACAAATGCATGGTTCCAAACCACGGATCCTCATGGATCCTCAGCGTTTTTCAATTCGATCACCCCAAACACACCATCCAATCACATAGCACATCCACGGCCACAACTTGCACCACAAAAATCACAGATCAACAGCTTCATGGTGAATCCATTCTGCAAAAACATGATTCTAAAGCACGGATCCTTATGGATTCTTGGGGTTTTCGTGCACGGACATCCCAAACATACCATTAAATCCCATATCACGTCCATGGCCACTACTTGCTCCAGAGAATTCATGCTTTGTGGCAACAACATGCTGCAAAAACTTGGTTCCAAAGCACGGATCCTCATGGATCCTCAGTGTTTCTGTGTTCAGTCACCATGTACTCACCATCAAATCACGTATCCTGTCTATAGGCACAGCTTGCACCACATCAGCTTGCTCCCTCTGCTCTCTTAAGGAGCTCTTTAAAAACATATGGCCGCCTATGGTGGAGGAGGCGGGAGAAATGGTGGTGGCGGCGGTGGGTGGGGGGAAAGCAAGGCCCCTCCGACATCAGACGCGAGAGGTGGAATTTGCTAATTGCCATCCAACGCCACCACCCCGAAGCTCAGGGAGGCTGGGGAAGCTTTCGTGCCCCCCAGCCACTGCCATTTCTGCCGCTGCCGCCATAGGCGGCCATATCTTTTTAAAGGGCTCCTTAAGAGAGCAGAGGGAGCCCAAACGGCCTCTCGACGCGAGAAGCAGTTTGGGCTCCCTGTTCTCTCTTAAGGAGCTCCTTTAAAAGATATGGCCTCCAATGGTGGCGGCAGAACTGGCGAGGGCGGAGGGTGGGCGAAATCTTCCCCGGCCTCCCTGAGATTCGGGGTGGTGGCGTTCGACTGTTATTAGCAAATTCGACCTCCTTAAAAAGATATGGCCTCTAATGGCGGCGGCAGAAATGGTGGGTGAAAGCTTCCCCGGCCTCCCTGAGCTTTGGGGTGGTGGCATTGGAGTGCGAGAGGCCGTTTGGGCTCCCTCTGCTCTCTTAAGGAGATCCTTAAAAAGATATGGTCTCCTATGGCGGTGGAAGAAATGGCGAGGGCGGCGGGTGGGCGAAAGCTTTCCCGGCCTTTGGGGTGGTGGCGTTGGACTGCTATTAGCAAATTCCACCTCTTGCGTCTGATGTCCAAGCGACCTTGCCTGTGCTTCCAGGTGCCGCTCTGAAATCAGACCAGAGGTCGTTTGGGCTCCCTCTGCTCTCTTAAGGAGTCCTTTAAAAAGAGGGGGGGGGGCGAAAGCCTCCCTGGGCCCTGAGCTCCGGTGGCCTTTTACTGCTATTGGCAAATTCCACGCAGAAACTCTGAGGATCCATGAACATCCGTGTTTTTGCAGAATGGTGTTGCCATGAAGCTGTGGATCCATTATTGTTGTGGTATAACCTGTTTCCATGGACATGTTATGTAATTTGATGTTGTGTTTGGTGTGACCCAATGCAAAAACCCCGAGGAAGTCCCGTTGAACCTCCTTGGGAAGTTGCGCTTTAGCAAATAGGGCTGCGTCCTTCACTTCCGAGCTTCTCCCGAGCCACTTTTCCGCCCCTCGTCGCGATCGTCCCGGCGATGCCCGTGAGCGGGGGCGGACGGGCGAAGGAGCTGAGGAACTTGGACCTGGTTCCCCTCTTTTCCCCTCTCCCTCTGGCCCCCTCCGCCGGGCTCGCTCCAGCTGTTGGGCTTGTGTGACAAATCTCTCCCCGCGTCTCTTCTCCTTTCCCCCAATCCAGAGCTGCCGGTCCAATGACAGGCGCCGCCCAGCCCGCCGCGAGCCAATAAGCGGGCCGCTGTGGGGGCGGCCGCTGCTGGAGCTGGTTTCTTTTGCTTCGGCGAAGGGGAGGGAGGGGGCAGCGCCGGGCGCGCTCGCTTCTGGCTCCTCGCTCGCTGCTTCTTCGGCTGTCCGCGTTCGCCACCAGCCCACCCGGAGCAGCGGCAAAGGCACAGGCGGCAGCAGCAGCAGCAGCAGCAGCAGCGCCGGCGGCCTCTTCTTCCCCTTCCCGGCGGAGGAGCAGCCAGCGGGGGCTGCGCGATGGCGGTGGAGGAAGAGGGGCTGCGCGTGTTCCAGAGCGTCAAGATCAAAATAGGTACGCGGGGGAGGAACAAAGGGGGAGCGGCGGAGGGTCGCGCGGACTTGGCTGCCCAGCCCGGCGGGAGGGCGAGCGCGGCGGCTTTTGCTGCTGCTGCTCCGGCGGTGCCTTGGCGCGCGGGAGGGGCGCCGCCAAACTCCCGGCCGGCCGGCGGCGGCGCTTCTTCCGAAGTGGAGGCAGGAGCGGCAGCCGCCCGTAGCGCGCTGGGGCTGGAGCGTCCCGTCGGCTTTCTTTCCCCCCCGTCTTGCCTGTCTTTTCTCCCCGCCCTCCGCT